CAAAGGAAACCCCCCCCCCAGGGGGGGGGAAGGGGAGGGGTCAATCTATCGATCAGCTGCGTCGACGGTGCGGGCGTGTGGTCAAGCTTACTCGATGAGCTCGCAGTAGTTGGACGGGAACATGCCCTCAGAGCCGTCGTCCTTGCCACCGATCCACCAGCCCTCAGCCACCTTTTCGTACACATACACAATCTCGCCCTCGACCAGCGAGATCTCGGTGTCATCGGCAGCGTCGTACTCGTACAGCACGCGGCACTGCTCGTACTGGCTCGGGTCCCACTCACCCTCAGCGGCAGCGGCCTCCTCGCCCCAGCCGCCGTCGTCGGCAGCAGCAGCCTCCTCGCCCCAGCCGCCATCATCGGCAGCAGCAGCCTCCTCGCCCCAGCCGCCGTCGTCGGCAGCAGCAGCCTCCTCGCCCCAGCCACCGTCATCGGCGGCAGGCTCGGCAGCGGCTTCCTGGCCCCAGCCACCGGCATCGGCGGCAGGCTCGGCAGCGGCCTCCTGGCCCCAGCCACCGTCATCGGCGGCAGGCTCGGCAGCGGCTTCCTCGCCCCAGCCACCGTCATCGGCGGCAGGCTCGGCAGCGGCTTCCTGGCCCCAGCCACCGGCATCGGCGGCAGGCTCGGCAGCGGCCTCCTGACCCCATCCGTCGTCGGCAGCAGGCTCAGGCTCCGGCTCCGGCTCCGGTGCAGGCGCAGGCGTCGAGTTCTGCCGAGCGCCCCATCCGCCGCCCGAGTTTGAAGACGACGACGGCGGCGGTGCACCCCAGGTCGAGCCCGACGATGCCGAGGCATCGGCGACCGGCTCGGCCGGCTTGGGCTTGCTCCATTCGCGGACGGCCGGCCCGGTGTTGGAGCCCGGAACAATACCACCCTGGTACGCCGACTCGGACGGGCGGTTCTCAGTCGACTGGTTGACCGACGAGAGGTGCGACTCGCGCTCAAAAGCGGCGTCGTCAAACTGCGAGCGGTCGACAATCTTGCCGCCTTCGAGATCGACGCGGGCGCCCTGCGCAAGGGTGCGCTTCGGCGCCGAGACAGCGCGGCGGGTGTGAATATCGTCGGCAACCTGCGTGTGCTGCGCCTTGGGCAGGTGCGGCCCGCAGTAGAGGACGTTCTTGAGCGACCGGAAGTTCTTGAGGTTGAGCGCAAGGCCACAGGTCGAGCAGCGGAAGCACGCCTTGTGCCAGGTCAGGCCCGAGTCCTTGACGGCGTCGGCCGGGAAGACATCCTTCTTGCACACCTGACACTTGGGCTTGGCCGCCACCTTGATGGCAAAGCCCTTGGGCTTGGGCTTGGGCTTGGGCCGCGGCGCCGACGATCGCATGCCCTGGCCCTCGCCGTGGGCCGAGTAGTCTGCGCCCACGCCCTTGGCCACCAGATCCAGCACCACACTCTCAGCAATGTCGTCCTCCGAGCGGGCGTTGATTTGAACATGGTAGCCGCGGAAGACCTTGGCCACGTCTGCCGTGTGCTGGTTGACAAAAGTGCGGACCGAGGTCGGCGACGACTCTCCCACCCAGGTGATGAAGACCAGCTTCCACAGCGACGTCTTGGGCTCCACAACCTGAAGGAGCGCAAACTGAATGCCAGCGTCACTCAGCTCCCACGCAAGCTCCTCCACCCCATCCTCTCCCGTCGCCTTGACCTCCAGCACATTCGGCCCACGCGATGACGGCTGACTCTGGTAGCCGAGTACCACCCACCGCGTCGAGTCGTCCTCGTCCACCACCGCTGCCACCGCTCCAGCCACAGAGTCGTCAAACTTGACACGCGAAGCGGACACTATACATATAAACACAGACGGAGAGAGAGCCACGCGCGCGCACACACACACACACACACACACACACACACATACGTGAGTGGGAGGGAGGGAGGAGGACGGGGGAGGACGGGGGAGGGGGGGAGGGGGGAGGCACCTGACGTACTTTCTTGCCTTTTTCTACGGAAAGTCAAATGGTTCCCCCTCCACGCACGTTGGACCAACTCAAATCGTTCACGACTCTAGCTGTCCCTTACCTCGACTCTCCTCAGCCTGGCAGGGCGTGCGGCCTCGGGTGGTCACGTTGTTTACAGCTGCGATCGCACCCAGATCCACTACAACCGAACTTCTAGCAGAGGCAGCCCGTCATCGCCGCGGCGCTCGGCTTCGGTAGCGAGCATGGCGCGGACAGCGTCGCCCACTCGGGCACGGGCGGATGGGTCAACCACGTTGCCAGAGAGATTAAGGCGGGCAAGACGAGTGCCGAGAGCAATGCCGACGAGCGAGAGCAGGCCAGATTCGGAAATACCGTTGTTCGGCAGCTCGAGCGCGACGAGCGAGGCGTTGGCCGACAGCGCCTGCGCAAAATTGGCGACGCACTCATCGTCGACCACCTGGCCTTCGAGCTTAAATGCCTGCAGCTGCGAGTGTTCCCCCATCAGCGGGGCAAGCACTCCAAGGCCGCTGCGAGACATGCGCCCGCCGCGGCGCCAGCCAGCGCTGGCCAGCGAGTAGCGGTTCGGACCCAAAATCTCGAGGCGGGTCACAAACCCGGTGGCGAGCGTTCCACGCTCGGCATCGGCGAGCCGCGCCATGAGCGCTGTTGCGCCGGCGTCCGAGAGCACCCGCATCGCCACCGCGTGCCCACCCATGTCCGACACAGGCACCAGGTGCGAGTGGTTTGGATGCCGCCAGAACGCCTCGAGCGTGCCTGGGGGAGGGAGTTTGCGCTTTGAAGGCAAGCTGCGCTTGACCACGTTGCGCCGCGCCCACGAGAGGTAGAATCCGATCATGGCCATTCCCGGAATGCCAAGCAGCATAAAGTACGGTGTAGCATTGACGCCCGAGGCCGACCCGGCCCGGTAGTTGACGCTGGCAATGATGAGAAAGAAGAGCCACGCGGTAAAGAGGCCAACAATGACATCGTTGAGTGCCGACGGCACCTCGTGCGCCGCTTCCTGTGCCCGCCGCTCCATTTCCTGCTCAGTCACGCCCGGGCCAAACGAGTCAACGTGGACCGTGACCACAAACGGGGTCCGAATCGAGACATACACGATGGCCGTCACGGCCGCCACATAAAAGACCACCAGCTGCACAACCGGCTGCGAGTGGCCAAACACCTTGACCCCGGTCAGAGCCGCCACGCCCACAAGCACCTTGGTCCGCAGATACACAATGTGACGCGCTGTTCGCAGCGGGTTCGACGACTCGTGCATGAGAATGTCCGACGTCCGCGCCTCAGCGAACGCCTGGAAGATGAGCACGATCGCAGCCGCAAGCGCGTAGACCGCCGCACCGAGGTGCTCGCCATGCCAGCAGTGCAGCTCAGTGGGCCGCGGCCGCGAGCCCATGACCTTTGGACAGAGCAGGATTTGGAACATGTAGTTGAGGATGGGCATGAACAGAATGCCAAAGATCAGCGACCGCCCGAGGAAGAACCCGAGGCGCGAGGCGTGCCACGCCGCACGGAGCAGCGGCGACCGCGCCAGCCAGAACGCGCCCACATACCCGAGAGGCAGCGACGCAGCCAGCCAAAACATGAGCATGAACGGCAGCTGAGAGTTCTCGAGCAGCGACCAGCCAGCAACCTTGTCCAGCTGCGTGTACCGCCACGGCATGTTAAGCTGGAACGAGAGCAGCCAGAGCTGAACAACCACCGCCGCGCCCACCATCAGCTCGACCCCGGCCCGCAGCCGCGAGTACTCGCCACGAAACGCAGCCGCGGGCTCCGTCAGCAACGGAAGGAGCTCAGATACCCGCGACGAGAATGTTTGGATCATCGTCAAGTCTTGCCTTCCTCTGCCGCTGCTGCCTCCAACTGCTTGCCACGTCCTCGCGCCAGACCTTCCGGCATCTTGATCCTGCTCGCACGTGAGAAATTACAATGCAATGTACTGTTTAATGATAGCAGATCACCCCTTCCATATCAACTCGTCCGCATGGTCTAGTGGCATGACATCTGTCTACGGAACAGAAGGCTGTGGTTTCGATTACCACTGTGGACTACTTTTTTTTTGCCCTGGCCGCCACCCTCCCACTCACTGACCTCGCATCCGGCGGCCGACCCCACATCTACGTCTACGAGAGCCCAAGCTCATGCAACTCTGAGTATGTACATACTGTGCACAACATTGCTAGGTGCTCGCGGCTCGTAGTCGGCCTGTAGAGCGCGCAGGAGCACCCGCCTAAGGCGGCAATCAAATGTACGCTTCAAATACTAAAAAATGCACTCGACAGTTGTAGTATGTCCTTCCTTGGTCTAATGGATATGACGTCAGCTTTCGGCGCTGAAGGTTAGGGTTTCGAATACCCTAGGAAGGCTATCCAGTTTTTTTTTGCCCGTGTGAGCACCTTGCATCTACCTACTCTATTGTGCCTATCACCAGCTCTGGTCGGAACGTGTCATACACACGTTGATGTGATGCTTTCGCTCACCAGCCGCGCTAGGCGTTGTTAGCAGCAGTTTGTGAGTTCAAAACTCAAAAAGAAATTTCTCGCCAGTAGCAATGGCAATGCATTGCGGAAGCGGAAGCGGCGGCAGAGGTGAGCGGCCCAAGATGACCCACACACGACTCTTTCACAACGATGTACTCTACGCGCAGCAGCGGAACGACGACTCGTCGGCGGCGGCGGCGGATTCTTGGCGGCGGAGCCGCCATGGACTCTGACTCTAACTCTTCGTCATCAGCTTCGTCTTCCAGCTCTTCTTCGTCTACTCCGCCGCCTGCTTGCTCCTCGGATGGCCATGACCCGTGTATGTGTGTGTGTGTGTGTGTGTGTGTCGGTCTGTCTGTCTGTCGCTGCTCCAGCGACTCAGCTTTCTTCGCCCACGCTGACGGGCCGACAACCATGGCAGCCCACAGCAGAGCCATATAGCGAGTACAGGAGAGGGGGGAGGGACTATGTGTTTGTGTGGTTGCGAGGAGGGTCACTTACAGTGGATGTGTCGCTTGGTACTGGCTGGCTGTGCCTTACTCCTCATCGTCTGCAGCGTACAAGCACCTTCTGACGCGGATCTACGCCAAGAACAAGAACAAGCACAACCGTACGGATCGGATCGGGATGGGAGTCGGGAGGGGGATGGGGATGGTAGCGGGGGGTAGATGGTGGCAGGGAGGTGGATGGAAGATGGGAGAGAGATCGGGGAAACTAGCGACGGCAGCGGCTTGTGAATCTGCTAGCTTGTAACGATGCAGGCGATGCGGGTGCAGGGCGAGGCGGGCGAGGCGAACGCGAGCGGCTGTACTCACATCATCGAATGGTAGGCGGCCACAAGCGCAAGTTCTACAAGAAGAAGAAGTGGATGAAGAAGATGCTCAAGCCTGTGGCCGAGGAGAACAACATCGAGTACATCAACATCAACGACCATGACGGGCACTACTTCCGCAAGATGTTCGAAAAGGCTGAGAAGCCGGTCATGCTGACCGGTGCGTGCGATGACTGGCCGGCGTCCAAGAAGTGGAGCAAGGACGGTCTGATGAAGTACTACGGCGACAAGATGTTCAAGGTGGCCGGCGAGCAGATGTACATGCGCGACTACCTCAAGTACTGCAAGCGGACCCGTGACGACTCGCCGCTGTACCTGTTTGAGGAAGCTCTGGACCAGGCCGGCCGTGATGGGCTCATTGACGACTACACCGTGCCTGAGCTGTTCAAGTACGACTACTACGGTGCAGTGCCGAACTCGGTCCGCCCGCCGTTCCGCTGGTTCATTGTCGGCCCTGAGCGCTCGGGCTCGACCATCCACCAGGATCCGCTCGGCACCTCGGCGTGGAACGCCCTCATCGAGGGCCACAAGAAATGGGTCATGTTCCCGGCCCACATTCCGCGCGAGAAGTTCTACCCCAAGAAGTACAAGTCCAAGGACGCGTATCACGAGGCCATCTACTGGTTCCATGACTGCTATCCCTACTGCGTCAAGCATGCCAAGGAGCTCGAGATGATCGAGTGCGTCCAGAAGCCCGGCGAGGTCATCTTTGTCCCTGGCGACTGGTGGCACGGCGTGTTCAACCCGGACTTTACCGTCGCCGTCACTCAGAACTTTGTCTCAAAGTACAACTTTAAGCGCGTCTTTGCCCGCACCAAGCGCGAGCGCGCCCGCTTCTGCCAGCGCTGGAAGAAGGTGCTTGACTACGTCGAGCCCGACGTCGCCCTCAAGGCCAATGAGCTCGACCACATCCCCTACGGCCGCCGCTGGTCCGAGTCTGACTCGGGTTGGACCGACATCGATGCCCTCTCCACCCTCTCCACCTCGGACATCGGGCTCTACGACCTTGCCGCCTCGTCGTCGTCGTCGTCCTCATCCTCGTCATCGTCGTCGTCGTAAACGCATCACGCCCAGCGCCCACGTTCCGAGCCGCAGCTGCTCATGAGTTGGTGAGGAAGCCGCGCAACCGATTGTTCGCCTTCTTCTTCTCCTTTTCGATGATCTTGGCCGCGCGCGCCGCCCGCTTGTCAAGGCTCGCCTTGCCCGCGGCGTCGCCCACAGCATCTGCCGCTGCTGCACCCGTAGTGTACGCTGCGTAAGCCCCGTCGTAGTTTCCATTTTCCTCGTACGCCATGCCCAGTCGCAGATGCGCCTTGCCATGCCCCTCATCGAGCTTCAGCGCGTCGCGAGCAAAAGCGATGGCCCGCTTCGCCTTGCCCAGCTTTGTCATGCACGCCGACATGTTGCAGTAGATGGAGATGAGCAGGGCCTTGGCCGTCGCCTGCTCACCAGCACTCCCAGGCTCTGCCGCCGTCCCACCCAGCGCCGCCAGCATGCTCGATCCCTCCAGCCCCTTGACAGCAAACATGCCCGTGTAGTACTGCTGCAGCGCGCCTTGCGCATCACCGGCTTGGAACAGCTCATTGCCAGCCGCCTTGGCCGCCTCCGCCGTCGCAATCTTCTCGCTCACACTTCCGCTTCCTCCAACAGCTGCCATCGTGCCTTCTCCTTAACTACCTCCTTGCTTCAAGTGAGTTGTGTGTCCCTCCCCCCCCCCCCCCCCCCCTGTCCCGCCTTGCCGTCGCCGTCTCTGTTCCTCGCTCGACGGGTCGCTCAAGCTCGATTTCATTTCGTGAAGAGAGCGACTGACACAAGTGTGACGGCGCTGGTGATGACGTGGGCAGGAAGGAAGAAATGATGGGATCGGCGGCAGAGGAGGGTGCAGGATGGATCGGTTTCTTCGGCTTGGGTTGGATAAAGCTGCGAGAGAGAGGCTGCTGTCGGGAGATTGGTGCGCGGCCAGGCGGCCCGAGCGTCTCAGCGAGGGCATGCGCCGAGCGGCGTGGGTCCTGGAGCACGTCATCTAGAGGCCGAGAGTGCAATCTAGAGGCTTCCATCAGAGGTATATGTGCGATGAGCTCTCTTGAACTACGATGAGTAGACCTCAACCTTGCGGCCAGTGTTGGCGACGACACGGTTCATGTAGTAGAGACCGTTAAAGTAGAGGAGGAGGGCGACAAGGAAGAGAACCACCGGATGCGCCGGTGGATTGCCGTAAAGGTACGAGAGATACATCAGTGCGGCGGCGTAGAGGCAGCCGGGCGCGCGGATCCACACGTTGATCCGCGCGTTCCACACCTTTTCCGTTGACCGCGAGAGCACGCCAGCCTTGACAGCTGCAAGCATGGCATAGTCGCATCCACCGGGTGCGCCCGAGATGAAGAACGCAATGACGTTGGCGCCTGGGCCAGCCCCAAAGTAGAGACCGCAAGTGCAGATGATGCCGCCAAAGACAACGTGATGCATCCAGTCGTCCATGGTCAGGTCCGAGAACATGATGCAGTGATAGGCGTGGATGGCAGCAATCATCCATGCCGGTAGTCTGTTGAAGCCACCCTCAAACGAAGTAGCAGGATCTGCCACTGCCGTCATGATATCACCGAGGCATCCCAAGGCCACCACCAAATTCGCGGCTGCATGCAGTGCAAACCAGCGGCCGTCGAGCTTGCGCGCAAAGACTCCGTCCACAGCCAAGAGCAAAGCAAAGCACACGCCCATGCCCACCCAGTCAGACACTTCGCCGTGAAACATTGCTCAAGGGCCGGAGGAGGAGAAGGGGGGAGGGGGGAGAGGGGGGGAGGAGGGACGGGAGAGGGAAGTGTGGCTGTCACTGTCGAGTCGAGTCGAGTTGCTGCTGCTGCCGTTGTCGGCCGAGGCCAAGGTGCCTCACTCAGAGGCCGTACTCACGATCAGCCCATGAAATGCTGACATGATGATTGTGGCAGTCTGAGACTCGAAAGAGGTCGGGGAAGGGGGTCGGGAGATGAAGGCGGCTGTGTTACAAGGGAGGCGCAAGCTTCACTCGGCCATCGGTAGACGGCGAGATGAGACTCTGCACACATCGTTCGCAACCCTCATTGCAATCTCGAGGTAGACTGTGACCGCGATCAGGGAAGGATTGTCTTGTTACCGCCTGGCAAAGATGGGACTTTGCTGGCACGCGCAGCGAGTTGCGCGCGTCGGCGAGCAACCGGCGTTTGCCACGTGGCCACGAACGGCGGCGCACAGAGCGCATGGTGCGTCAGTCGGGCCAACGACAAGCCAACATTCGACTCACTTTCTCGAAGGAAGTGTGTGTGTGGGTGTGTGGCAGACACATAGTAGGTCGACGAGTGAGAGAGCAAGTGAGAACGTGCGTCAAGAAGGCAGCCGAGGTGGACTCGAACGAGCGAGCAACAAGGTCGGCGCAAGAAAGAAAGAGAGAGCTCAGAAAGCGCGGTGGGAGAGGATCGCTCGCTTTGCGGTATGATTTTCCACGGAGAGATTCCGGATTGGCTGGGCATTCTTGGATCGTATGCCTTTCTTCTACTTGTGGATGCTGTGTATGTGCGGAAGGCGCGCGGGCGGTGGTTCCTGCTCCACTCGGTCGCCAACTGGGTCATCACTGCCGGCTGCATCCAAGACTTTTTCTCGGCCGTCGTCGATCCGGCCCGGAGCTTTGAGGGCGGGTTCAACCGGTTGCCGGCATGGATGATCGTCTCCATCCATGTCTACCACTGTCTGATGTTCTCGGATCTGACCATGGACGACTGGATGCACCACATCATCTTTGGCGGCATTCTCTGCCCGTGCGGCCTGTTCTCCCGCGGCGGGCCAGGCGTCAACGTCATCTCCCTGTTCATCTCGGGTGCACCCGGTGCGCTCAACTACGCCATGCTGGCTGCCGTCAAGGCCGGCATCATGCCGCGCGAGTCCGAAAAGACCTGGAACGCCCGCATCAATGTCTGGTTCCGCGCCCCAGGCTGCCTCTTTGCCGCCCTCGTCATGTACGTCTCATACCTCTACGGCAATCCAGGTCCGCATCCGGGCGTCCTTGCCGTCGCATCCTTCCTTCTCTACTTTAATGGCCTCTACTACATGAACCGTGTGGTTGCCAACGCCGGCAAGAAGGTGGATGTCTACTCGTCGTAGCCACAACCAACGTGACCTTGGGCCTCCAGTCAGACGCCAATCAACGTTGCCAGTCCACATCTCCTCCCGATCTCGATCTCCAACGCCGTCCCACCCCTCCACCCCTACCCCCGAACCATTGGAAGCCAACTAACGTTGCCCGCGCCCTTAAACAACCAGAGCAACTACGAGGCGCGACAAAAAGCACGTACACGAAGCTCTTGATTGCTCATCATCCAACAATTGGGCACACATGCAAGGGGGGCTGTCCCATGCCCCTGCGCGGCGTTATCGCTGACGTCGGCAAGACGATGGTGCTCGTGGCGTGCGTCCAATTCCGTGCTAACGATGACAGGCAGTTCCCTCACGAGCAACAGGGAGCGCGGGCGGAGGGGGTATGGCCATTCGACTCTATCAAGCCAAGACGAGATGAGTGAGCGTAGTATGGGTAAGAATAGGGGTGTGATGGATGTGGTAGTGACGGCAGTGGCCCTCGCTCTCGTTCTCCTCCTGGCTGGACTCCTCCCTTCACCTCTTGTGGTCGCTGTTCAAGTGCCTGGCCTCGGCAAGCTGCCGGACAAGGTCGACCTCGGCAACGGGTTCACATTTGAGAACAAGGGCGGCATGGGTGTGTATGTCGACCCCAATGCGGCGGCTCGCCAAAAGTCGACTCAGCCAGACTCGGCCCCGTACTGCTTCTCCAGGGTTGCCCTCATCCGCTCCACAGTCGCTGCCGCAAAAGAGGCAGGCGAGCCGGCAGTCTGGCCCGAAGGCGACAAGCTCTCCCTGGCCAAGTGCTACCTCGCTCGCATTCCGGCTGAGATCGGCGCGCTGACCAACCTCGTCGAGCTCCATCTCGGCGTCAACCAGCTGAACGACCTCCCGCTCGATCTGGCCAACCTCGACAAGCTCGAGGCTCTGTACCTGCACCACAACAGCTTTGAGACCCTGCCCGAGGTAGTGACCATGCTTCCAGCGCTCAAGCGGCTCATCATCTCTGACAACCAGCTGACCAAGCTGCCGTCGGCCATCTCGGCGCTCTCCGGCCTGGTCGAGCTCATGGCAAGCAACAACACCCTACGCTCGCTGCCGAAATCCATCTCGGTCCTCAAGCGCCTCGAGGTTCTCAACCTGGCCAACAACTCGCTCGCTGTCATCCCCACCGTCATCTGCAAGAACACTGCGCTGATGGAGCTGGATCTCTCCGGCAACGCCCTCCGCGCCCTGCCCGAGTGCATCGGTGACGCCTGGGGCGCGCAGCTCGTCTGGCTCCCGCTCAGCAGCAACAGGCTGTCCAAGCTCCCGCGCTCCATGGGCAAGCTCACCTCGCTCACCGCCCTCGCCCTTGACAACAACAAGCTCGACGTCTTTCCGTCCTTCCTCAAGGACTTTGTAGCCGCCCGCGTTCCGCTCAAGGATCTCTCGCTTCGCGGCAACGCCATCTCCGAGATCCCGCCCTGGTTTGCCGCCTTTAAGGATTCGCTTGTCGAGCTGGACCTCTCCGAGAACCGCATCACCGCCATCCCGCCGTTTTTCGGCGACTTTTCCGCCCTCGCCTACCTCGACATTGCCCTCAACCGCATTACTAGCCTCCCACCTCAGCTCGCCATGCTGGCCACTGCCTCTCTCGACGACATCGCCATCTTTGGCAACCCTATGACCGAGCTGCCAGCCGGATGGTGTGATGCGACCGAGCACCCGATGCGTGATTTTGTCTACCGAGACTGCCTCGACTTGGCTGCCGGCGAGTTTGGCGTTGAATTTGAGGACCGCGATGAACTGTAGTTGCCCGTCACCTCGCGAGGGCGTCCACTCTTGTGCTGGATTTGGCATGCCACCTGGAGAAAGTCCTGCACACTGCCTCTCTTTGTCTCTCTCTCTCTCCCCCCCCAGCAGCAGCCCAGATCGACAGTCAACCACAACGCCCCCCAAACACAGACCGATACACACTTCAACGAGCCAGAGCTCAATTAAGACACGCAAGAGGCGACCGAATTGCTTACTAGCGTCCATATGGCAGGCGATCGGCTTGTGAGTCGGTGGTCGGGCGGCGGGCGGGCGGACAGCGAGCGGGCGGCGAGCGGCGGGCGGCGGGCGACGAACGCAGCGGTTCATCCCGCGACCGACACAAGCCGCCATTGTTGAGGGAGGGGGGGGGGCAAGGGCCGGGGGGGCGGGCAAGGAGCACCAGTCGACTTGATATAGACAGCAGTTGGTGAGGAGGGTTAGAAGAACTAGTCATTTATGTTTCGTGCTGTTGGAGCTGTTCGACCCCTTGTGGCAGCGCATGGAGTTGCCGTGGTTGGTGGCGGTGTGAGCCAGACCAGCGTCCGTAGCTACGCCGTGCCCAAGCACAAGGTCTCTCTCGCCCGACGCAAGCGCCGTCGTGCTGGCTCGCACAAGCGACTCTCTCTCAAGACCAACATTACTTCATGCTCTTCCTGTGGTTCAGATCGTCTCATGCATCATCTCTGTGCTACCTGTGGCCATCCGCCCCATCCTCATCCTGAGTGGGACCTCCGTGCTCATCATCTCCAAGCCCTCGATGCCGTCACCGCTGACCTCATCTCCGGCTCCTCCTCGCCCTCTTCCTCCGTTGCCGCCGCCGTTGCCTCGCAGGCCTCTGCAAGCTCCCGCTCCGAGTGATGGCCGCCCTCTTTCTCTCTCTCGGCCTCCCCTCCCAACCATCACTTCCGCGCCTCGTCAGATGCTTCCGCCCACTGTGCGGAGGCTATCTGTGGCGCTCTGCCAGGTGCTCACCGTATTGGCCTCAGCTGGTGCTCCTCTGCTGGCAATCGCCATGGGTTCGGACTGTTCCGTGCTCTTGGCTGCGCTAGCTTTGCTTGCATATTCCCCCACACACACATACACAGCACGATGATAGACTGTACTAAAGGTCCAACTCGTCACCAAGAAGGTCCAGATCTTCGTCGATGTTGCCCGCATCGCCAGCAGTGTCGGTGTTGGCAGCGTCGCCGTCGCCGTCGGCGTCAGAAGCAGGTGTTGTGGCGGTAGCCGGCGATGTGCGCGGGACGAGGTCATCGCGGGTAAAGCCAAAGTCGACGAGGAGCTGGTCCTCATCGTTGCGATGGTCGACAGCCTGGAGCAGACCGTCATCACGACGTTCAACTGTCTGCAGCAAGCCGACCTCCATGTCAGACGAGTCGTCGTGCTGGGCACGGACCCGCGCAAGGGTGGTGCCGCGCCGCGACCAGACGAGGGCACCCAAAAGGGTAGCGACGACGAGGACGAGAAGGATGACCGCGAGAGTGAGGCCAGTGACCTTGCGCTTTTCGGCAGCCTCGCGCTCAATAGCATCCGCGGTTTCAGAGCCGGGTGCCGGCGAGGCAGGGGCCGGTGGCGGTGGCGGCGACGGGCGCGGGGCTGGCGACGGACGTGGGGCAGGCTTGGCCGGCGACGGCGGCGGTGGCGGCGACGGCGGCGGCGATGGCGGCGGCGATGGCGTGTGGCTCGGGCAGGCTAGAGTAAGCGGGCCCTTGTTGACCGCTCCGTCCATGGAGGTATCGCACTTGTCGCCAGCGATGAGCCGGTAGCCCTGGGTGCCCTGGTAGGTGAGGCCTGGACGGCACCAAGCCGGCGGCGGGGCGATGACAGCGTCGGGATCGGCGATGCACACGGTTGGATCGTCGTCATCGAGCAGCTGGTAGCCAAAGTCGCACTCCCAGTCGTCGTCTGTGCAGGCGCAGATGGCACCGTGAGTCGGCGCCGGCACGCCCGAGCTCGGGTTCACACACATCGCCTCGGGCTTGCGGCGAGAGTAGGTGGTGCGGCTGCCAAGGATGCATCCGCCGTCGTAGGCCGGCACAAAGTGCTCCATGTCGTCATCGGTGCACTCGACAGGATGACGCGAGGCAGCTGTAAAGTCAAAGGTGACGATGTAGGTGTGAAAGACACTCTTGAAGACCTTGAACGCCTTGTACGAGACAACCAGCGGGTTCGCACCGGGCTGTGGGCGGAGGAAGTTGCCCATAACTATGTTTGTCGTGTCGTGCTCAAAGACGCCGGTCGCCGGTGCGGTAGCAAACGTGTCCCACGAGTAGAGGAACGAGCCAGTGGCCGACGGGAAGTCCATGCCGACGCTCACCGAGCCGCCTGCGAGACTTGCGACCTGAGTCTCGGTCTCGGCCACCGACATCCAGGTCACGCCACCATCATGAGACACAAAAGTCGAGGTGTACGAGTGGCGCAGGTCGAGGAACTTGCCGACCGAGCCCGAGCCATAAATGATGCCCGGAGCATCGATCGGGGCGTAGATTGAGGAGAACAAGGAGGAAGAGCCAAAGAGGTTGAGCCAGACCGGCGGATCGTTCGGCGTGCCGGGCGGAGCCGGCAGTCGGGTCCACACACCGCCGGCGTCGTGCGAGACCAGAGTGACAAGGGCGACCGAGGTAGCCGGCGCGTCAGGATCGTCGTCTACCACCACATTGGCCATCAGCGCAGCATCGATCGAGGCCAGCGCGGTCACATCTGGGTACTTGCGGCCCACATGGACCTGCTCGAGGACAAGCGCAAAGTCGCGGCCATTTGCGTCGGAAAGATACAGATGGCCCCAGGTCGTGGAGTGAACGACGACGAGGAAAACAGCACCGTCCTCGCCGTCGAAAACAAACCAGCGGTCCTGGTCGAGGTCGGCGACCGAGGCTGGCAGGTCAAGCGGCGCAAAGGATGCGCCGTGGTCAGAAGAGAGCAGCAAGCCGTAGCCACCATCACTGGCGATACCGGCCTGGACGACAAAGATGTGTGAAGTGTAGACCAGAAAGTGGGGGGCATGGTCGACAATTGTCACCGGATCGGCGCGAAAGTACGAATCCGAGACGACAAAGGCGGCCTTGCGGCTGGCCGCAGTCGGCTGATTGCCATCAGTCATGCCTGGCCAAACAACAGCAAACAGCCTGCCGAGTGGAGCATTATCGTCGGGCCGGGCAAACTGGACCGAGTCGACATAGCTGGCAACAAGCGCCCAGGTTGAGCCAAAGTCGCGCGAGACCATGACGGTGCGGGCGCAGTCATGCTTGGCATGCGCGTCAAGACAGCCAGCCGTGGCGCCGAGTGCCAGGATGGTCGACGTCTCGTACGGCGACAAAAGAACAAGAGGAGTCGAGGAGAGAATGCCTGTGTATCCCACATCGAGCACAAGCGGCGTGTCGATGGGGCGGAAGGTCTGACCGCCGTCGTCGCTAACCCAGTGGCGGGTGCCCTGGCCGGCAACAAAGAGCCGATCCGGGTTGGCCGCCGAGCGGTAGACAGCGTACGCACCGTTCTTGGCGTTGGCCTGCATCTCGGCAAAGCCCTCCAGCTCGCTGTTGGCAAGCTTGAAGTGTGCCGAGTAGTCAAAGGTGGTGTAGACTGAGCCGGCGGCAGTGACGACAACCCGGGAGATTGACGTCGGTGAGGTGGACATCGTCGAAATGAATGAGTCAAGGACAGTGGTAGTGACAAGCGGGCTGTAGTGACCAGAGTCTGTACGAGCCTGCATCGGCTGCTGCGTGGGCAGAGCCTGTGCCCGAGGCGCTATCGCTAGCTGGCAGACATCGCTTCTCCGCGAGCGCACCACCAGCTCCCACACACCAGCCTTGTCCATCATCGGCCCATGCTCGACGATCACACCAGAATGGCCAGCGACTGCACACTCGAATCGGATTTCTTCAAGGGCAATGGCGGCACGGCTTCCCATGATGGCCACGGGAGCCTTTGCCACAAACCTGGCATCATCGAGAGAAAGCCAATCCGGACCACACACATCGAGAGATTGCCCACCAGACAAGACCAGAACCGGATAGCTACATAACGTAGACGCATGAGAAGAGGTGTACATGTCCACTACATCCAGCGCATGACTTCCAGGAGCAACCAGTTCACCCATGTTCATCACCTCGTCGTCGTCCACGATGCCACCCATGACCACAGAGCCCACAGAGCCCACAGCAAAGACGCTGCAGACCACAAGTACTGCAACCACAAAAGCACACTCTTGCTTCATCCTAGAGCACGTGACGAGGGTGACAGGGGAAGGCAGCTGAGTTGGGTATGGCCTTGGATGTGCCTCCTTCCGCAACGCAGGTGTGTGGCGGAGACCATTGTTCGTCGCTCGGCCAGGCCGTCTGTGCGTGAGATGAGACAGATACACGCACACACGCGCGCGCACGCAAGTACAGCCACATACATCTTCATGCGTATGTTCTGCCGTCACCGATCAAAGGTTTCGGCGCCTGCTACCACACGCACCGCATCATAGCCCGATCAGGGAACCTTGCTCGATCGTGATCTCGGGCCGCCTCATGACGTCCCATCCTCCCCTCCCCTCAACCTCAACAGCTTCCACAACCAAACATCCTCCCTTCCTCCCTCATCCTCCCCTTCCCTCCGAGAATGGTCCTCTATCGTTCGATTGCTCAATACTCACCACACGCGCACAAAGCCCAGATCACGAAAAGCTCGTGCTCGATCCCAGCCCACCTCATCCCATTCCCCCCCCCCATCCCCTCCCCTTCCACAGCTTCCACAACCAAACATCCTCCCTTCCTCCCTCATCCTCCCCTTCTCTCCGAGGATGGTCCTCCACCGATCGGATGGCCCCACAATACGAGCACCCAGCCTGCGTTCCATTCCGTACCCACGTCACCTCGCGGACGGACACTCAACGTCACACACCCACCCACACACTCACACACATACATACTCACACACACGCACACACTCAACGACTCGAGCATGTCATCGAGTGAAGAGTGCCAGGAGCGGAGCGGAAGAGTCTTCCTTCGCATTCCGGACGTCACCTGTGTTCACATCCACGAACAGACCAAGACAGCAGCCGAGCCAGCCGAGCTCGAGTACTGGGAGGTGCCATCAGAGCCAGAGCCTGTCCGATTCCTTCTCTGTGGAGAAGCACGAATTCCCTTAGTTGGTCCACATGTCCCTGCTCTCAAAGTCTCGCCTGGAAACTATGTCTTTCCTCTGCCAGGTGCCCAGTACATGGGTATCGTCCTCCCGCCGCACGCTCCGCCGCAAGCCCACGTCATTCTCGACAACTTGCTTGCCTTCCACACCAAGTTTGCCGACAAGACGCAAGAGAAGCAGGAAGTTGTTGCTGAGCCGCCGCTCGATCGAGCCGAATCATCTGCTGACGAGGCTTCCGCTGATGCTCCTCCTGCGGAGTCGTCGCAAATCGATGCGGAGCCTGCTGCCATTCCGGTCATCACCACTGCCGGCGCAGCATCGCTCGAGGCAGGAGAAGTTCCAGAGAGCACCGCTCCGCCGTCATCGACGGTGGCGGCAGTCATGACCGGGGTGGCCAACGTGTTGGACTCGTCGGCGGCGACGGTGGGCAAGGCGGTGATCTCGTCGGCCGAGGTGGTCGGCTCGGGCGTGGCGTCGACGGGCGTGTTCGTGCAGTCGAAGATCAAGCCGGCAAGTAAGCCGCTAGTGGTCTCAGACGGAGTCAAGACCAAGGTGGCGTACGTGAACAAGCTGTCGTCGGCGGCTGTGACCGTGTCGGACGCCTTGGTTAATGGCGTCCGCGCCATGGCCAGCACCCTCGGCCAGGCCGCAGCCGACGCCATCTCGGAGACCGAATACGGCCGCAAGTTCAACTCGGGTACGGCCGGACCCAAAATGATGGCTGCCAAGCGCGTCGGTGTCTCGGCCATCTCGGCCGTCGACACTATGCTCTCCTCGCTCTACTCTGCCGGCCACATCCTCGCCTCCAACGTCTCATCCGCCACCACCGACGTTGTCGCCCACCGCTACGGCGGCGACGCCGGCGAAGTGACTAAGAACACACTCTCGGCCGTCGGCCACGTCACCGAGTCGGTCCTCAACATCAACAAGATCGGCTACAAGTCGCTTGTCGGCATCGCCGCCAAGGAGACCACAAAGGGCGTACTCGTCGGCGACGCCGCCGCCTCATCCGCCACCAAGTCACCCGAACAGCTGCTCCTAGAGAGCATCGCAGATGCCCACACGACCGCTTCGGCCTCGGCCTCGGTGCCTGATGCCCACACGACCGCTTCGGCCTCGGCCTCGGTGCCTGACCCTGATTCCACCGCCGGCGCCAACTCTCGGGCTGACGCTGGCGCCGACGCCAACGCCGACGCTAGCGCTGCCGAATCGGGCACCGATCGATACATCGACGAGCTCAACTCTGCCGAGGCCTACATCGCGTAAAGGAGAGTCTGCTCCTCAATCACTTCACCAAACCGGCTGTCGGCTGCAGGTCGGCTGCAATTGGCCATCGGCCGCCGGCCGCCGGCCGCTGGTCGCGCGCCCAAGGCGACACGGCGCTCGGCCCTCGACACTCCACCCTTTCCACCCGCACCATGGCCACTCCCGCGCCCGGTGGAAGTGGAGCAGCACCCGCACCTGCACCCGCAGCCGGACCGGTCGCCGCAGCCGCAGCCCCGGCTGCTGCCGGCGCCGCCGGCGGGAACTACATGCAAGCCGCCGCGCCCAGCCTCCAGTATTTCAAGCCGACGGCTGCACCAGCTGCCGCGCCTCCGGTCACCGCGGCCTACCCCGCAGCTCCGGCAGGAGGCCACACCGCGGTCGAGCCTGTCCAGCGCGGTGAGCCCGAGGCATACTCAGGTATGTTGCCTTTCTCCCCTCCCCCCCCCCCCCCCCACCTCTTGAGTGACTACATGTACTTGCTCAAAGTGAGTTCAACGGACTAGGTGGCAAGCCCCTCCATCGACCCCGCCCGTGCTCACAATTGCTAAATCTGCGGGGCCCCCACTCACTCCGCTTGCTCCCTCAATCAGACATTTCCG